CGCCCCTGCGTGCGCATGCGCGAGCTCTTCCCGCCGGCCGTTACCACAGGGCGAAGGGCGACGCGCCCCGGGGGTCTTTGTGGCGCTGAGCCCCGCCACGGGCCCGAAACGCTCACACGACCGTGATAAAGCGCTTTGCTGCCCTCTACTACTGCTTCCTTGTCTCTGCCGCAGCTCGCGGAAGCTGTCGCTCCTGTTGAGGGTGTCCTGGGGTTGGAAACACCTGCAAAGAGCCTGAGAGAAATGGGAGTTTTCAGCTGGGAACAGAGAAGAGCTGGGTCCCCGTCAGGTTTTGTGAGCGGATGAAGCTTCCCCTTTCAATCCCTATGACATATCACCCTCCTCAGCCCACAGCTGTGGGACGAACAAACCCCTGCATTGCCACCTGTTATCCTTTTCCTTCCATATGTGACTGTGACATCAAAAGTGACTTCCATCTTTCTAACATATGTCACAAATTCATTATTTCACCATGAATCTGGGCAGAATGGTGACAGAAGGACCCCTAAGACTTCCACTCCCTCATGAAGTGATGGAGGGATGAAGAACCAGAGTGATCACCAGTGGGTATGGGGATCATCAGGAACCAGTGGGGAAGGGCCATGCAGATGCCTTACTCGTCATTGAGAGTTTCCCTCGCTATAAATATAAACCATATATAGGGGAAGGGCCATGCAGATGCCTTACTCCGTCATTGAGAGCTTCCTATATATAAGGAGACTGTCTGGGAGGGATACAAGTGGTCTCTTGCACTAGGTGGGTAACTAACTAGTGCAGAATTCCCTCAGACATTCATACAGACACGTTGACCTCGGGAATCCCTAAGTTATTCCGCTAACACATGAACAAGGCTGCTACCTAAGGCATGAAGTACAGCCTAGGCCATGAAGTACAGCCTGCGCCTGAGTACAGCCTACACCATCAAGTACAGCCTACGTCATCGAGTACCGCCTACGCTACTGAGTACAGCCTACGCAGCCTGAGGCTGGGGAGCACAGATGAGCAACACTACAAATTCAGTGCTGGGGGAAACTGAGCAAGCAAACGAGAACAAAGTAAGACTTACCAAGGACAGGCAAATCATTGAAAATGTTGTTTGAAGGAGGAAGTTTGTGACCTTCAAGATTTCCTATGACATTAAAATACATGATTACAAAATCACTGCTGCAGATGACTTCCTACAACGGCGCTAGCATATTTAATTGAGTGGGTTTATCAGGTTTTAAATTGGACAGCCCCTCAGCTGAAGTAAACACAAGGTTTATAAATGTCATAACGGCTGTACAGTATAGCACAGCATGAGAAGAAAATAAATACTACCTAAATATCCTGTAGTACTACATTTGCAAAGGTAGTTTGGAAATACCCTAAAAGTGCACTGCTTACAAATTCTTGTACCTCTCCAGGCCCATGCAGCACCGAGAAGGAACGATAACGCACTAACGTGGCTCTGTGTCCTACGGTGAACTTTTGAAAAGCCTCGGAGCGAATAAACATTAAGTTTTAAAATAAGCACCAAATTTTAAAATTTCCACTAAACCAACAGGTTTCATGTTCAGTTCAGCCTGTTTAACTCTCCTACATAAATACAGCCCAGTTGGACCAGGCAAAACGGCGTGGAGCTCTAGTCTGCACTACGTGGCTGCTTCCTGGACTTCTATCCACGGCCTTACCCTTTTGTCAACTTGGGCAGGTAAGAACATTCACCTGTGTAAAAGACAGTTTAATCTAGTAAAGTAGTAGAAGTCAGTCATGTACTTTTTGCCAAATATTTTTGTTTTTAGCTGGTTTATCTGAGGAGAGAAAAAGGGTTAATTACATCTTTGTTTTCCTGTTCTGTTGTCTTGCTATGTGATAGCCAGATATTTGTACACATTTCTTCATTTGACAGCTAGCAAGGCCTTTGAAATACTTGTAACAAATTCTGTTAGCGTTTGAGAGGAGCTGGAACAAGCAAGAGTCAGTTTGTCAAACACTGTCAGTTCTATGCCAAAAATGTGCAGAAAATCCTATTTTCACATGGTTTCAATGAATAAGTCTGTATCATGTTGAATTTGCAACTCTGCCTAAGGAGATGAAGTCTGCTGGAGCAGGCATTAAGACCTGGTTTCTCTCACAAATGGAGACCTCATTTATTCCTGTTCCTATTGAGATTCCAGATAGTCTCACACTGCGTGCAAATGGCATGAAATGGACTGAATAGAAATAAATTAAAGGCTCAGAACAATTCACTGTTCAAAGAAAGTTTGGTGACACCTGTACCATCATCAGAGTGAAAGCAAAACCAATGAGGCTTTTGGTTTGTGACAATGTGGGGTGTGTTAATCAAGTCAGGCAGGACAACTTTATTAAGTCAACTCTTAATTTGGAAGGAGACTCTAGACACAGGTCTGAGATTCAAATGATAGACCTCCTTAGAAAGTTACACCTTATCTCTTAGGATCCTTTGAAAATCTCAGCTCTTTGGAAGTATAAAGGTCTTCCCATCTACATTTCTATCTATTAAAACCGTAATTCCAGCTTTAGCAATAAGACATGGCTGGAAAGTTAATTCACAACTTTTTGTCTTTGAAATGTTTTACTACTACAGCCTTCATAGCCTGTAAATTAGTTTCCCTAATGAGGCAGAAATAGAAGAAAGGAAATAATCAAATCAATTTCACAACACTGTTTTTCTCTTTTCCCCATCTTTCTCTAAGGCTAAGATATTTAATTCAGTCTGAAAGTATTTGTGTAATTAATTTTACACAGGAAAAAAAAATCAATTATCTTCGTCTCGTATTAACAGTTATATGTAGTATTCCTGCTCGTCTCTTGGGTATTGCTATTATAGAGGAGTTTTGCAAAACAGCAAATGCCAGATCACAGTTGTAAGCACTTCCAAAAATCTCCTCCAACTTTATAGTGTTTAACTTTTTATGAGCTTTTAAAATAGTAATGGGTTATGTAAATTGTTTTCAGAAATCAGAACCTTCATCTCCTACATATTTTATATATATACACATATATAAAAACATTGCAATTTGGGGGGAAAAATAATTAAAGGAAAAAATGAGTTATACAACAAAAATGCATTTTTGAGAATTAAGAGAACATTTTCTGAACCAATTAGATGGTAATTTCAGGTATCAAGACTTCTAGATCAGTGGTGTATTTATGCTTAGTCTAAAATCATTATTTATTGATTTCTGCTGCACCTCTCCAACTTGAAGCTGTTCACAGATTTACAAGTTATACACAGATCTTAGGAATGCAGAGGGCACTGTGACCATGGGACTAAATGCCACTGTTTTTTGCTAGAGTGTTCTGCATTTCCTGACCATAAAGTCAGTAGATTAAGCAATAAATTTCTTAAAAACATCTTTCTATTTAGCAGCAGCAGGACTAACATTTCAATGCTACCTCTACAGGTACCACTGAATTTGTAGTGGTACCAACCAGAAGCTAGCTGGGGCTCGTTAACAGAGAGAGCTGGGTAGGGGAAAAGAGACAAAGTAAAATAAGAGTTCACATTTAAGAGAAAACTGCTACAAAACCCTCAAGTTCAGACATAAATGATGGAGAGGAAAAGTGAAATGTGTGCTAAATTAAATGTGTTGACATAAAACCCACAGAATTTTAGTAAAGAGGAAAAGGATTGAGCGGGCAAATGTAGAGCTGTGATGTAAAATATCTTAGATCTGCAGAAAATTTATTTCAAATCTACTTCCAGAAACTTATTTTTCCCATATGTGGGAAAATAACAGGCGTGCTTAGAACACAATTCTATTTCAGTTCTTTAAATTATGACTCGTGCTTGTACGTTTGCTCCGTTCAGGTCACTTGTCGGTAGTATGACAGCATATCATCTAAACTTTGGTAAAGCGGCTCCTGATCGTCAGCGCTGCTGCTGCAGGCCTGCGCCGCAGGTGCTGCCTCGGGAGCGTCGCAGCCGCATGGCTGCATTGGTGGCAGCTCCTCGGGAGCACCGTAGTTTGGCAGAAGCTCACGCGGGACCCCATTAGCCATAGGCCTGCACTGGTGGCATCGCGCCCTGCGCGCCGTAGCAGTAGGCTGGCATTGGTGGCAGCATGTCGTGAGCGCCGTAGCCGTAGGCCTGCATGGGCACCTCATGAGCGCCATAGCCATAGGCCTGCATTGGTGGTAGCACGCCGTGAGCGCCGTAGCCGTAAGCATGCATTGCAGGTGGCAGCTCGTGAGCGTGGCAGCAGTAACCCTGCGCTGGCAGCAGCCCATCCTGGGCGTCACAGCTGTCACTCTCCTCTGACGAAGTTTCATCTTGAGCATCACTGACATGGGCCTCTGATGCTGACACACCTTGAGCATCACTGCTGCCAGCCTGTGCCGATGGTGGCACATCTTCAGCACTGCTGTCACCGGCCTGCTGTGATGGCAGCTGGTGGTTTTGTGCTGTCTCTTGCTCCGGTTTTTCTGAGGAGGCTTCAGGACTGTTCAAATTCTGGCTGTAATTATCATTTTTCTTTTGTCCCATAAAGTAATCAGAAGGTGGTGCAAATTCTGGATCTCGCTCATCTCGGAGATCTTCTTTTATCTTTGACCATTGGCCAAAAATCAGTTCTGTTAGAAACAAGCAAATGATACACAGACATCAGCAGCTGAAGATCAGTCAGAAAGGAATTAGCAAGCAGGGAAGATACAGCCACTTAAAGCCATTTGAAGTTACTTTCCCATCTAGTAATAATGCTTAGTTAAGGCCATCACCCATTTTCTCTACACAGCAGAAACCAAATCACTGAGTATTGAGTATCACCCTCTAAATAACTCATCTTAGTCACTTTAAGCTCCTTTAACAACCTGATCAATTTTTTTTTTTAAACTTCCTTCCTCCCACTCAGATGATATTCATTAACTGAGCACAAAGTCAAGGCTGTGAAAAGCAAAAAGCATCTGGGAATACATCCATATTCTACAGAAGAGGAATGCTGCTTTTATAGCATTCCACAGAGGGTGGGCGTTTATGTGCTTTGCCCTGTTCTTGCTTGCTTTTACCCAGAAGCCAGGCAGCAGACTACAGGAACAATATGCATGAGCTTAGATTAACGATGAAACCGAATTAATGACTTTGGAAAGGATCTGGAAGAGACCAATCACTCAATACTGTGACAAGGGAGATTCTTCCAAGTGGGAAATCCCCCAAAGTGGGATACTTGTGCAGGCAGGTGGAGCCTGAGAAAACCAGAGGCTCAACTCCATTAATGACCAAAAGCGTTTTCTCCAAAAGCATTTCTGAACAAACACTTTCTTCAGAATTAATAGTCAAAATATGTAATTCTTATTCACTATATTAGTGCTGCGTGAAAGTAGTACTAAACCTTTTGATTAAAGAGTAATTTTCTTTGGTATAAATTAATTCCACTATTATGTTTTCCATGTATCTGGTAATATGATTAAAATAGGTTTAACCATGTTTTTCACTGCTAGCCCATTTAGATATACATTTCAGCTGTGAGGTAAACACAACAATAATATGGCTCCTCACCTCACCGAGTTTTTCGATTAAAAAAATTATCTGCAACAAGTCCCAGCAATACTTTGTCTTCTGTTCTCTTGCGTACATCTAATTTCACAATATATTTGATCCTTCATAATCATGAAGCAATCTTCCTTCCCTATAAACCAACTATCTCTGTTTCTCCCCCAAGTCCTTCCCTGTAATTCCATTTATTCCATGAGATCTCCTAGTTACAGTGACCGTACGTTACATCAGCAATGAAGTGGTTGCTGCTTGCCTCGGTTTTTATTATCATCTTGTACCTGTTTCACTGTGATTCATTCTGACATCAAGTGGCCCAAACTACACTACTATATCAAGAACAGATCAGACTGAAAGAGAGTAAAGTTCAAAAACCATGAAATTTGTCATCCTGTCAAGCTCTCTGGATCATCCATAAATGTAATAACTCATAGGAGATAAAATTAGGGGACGTTATGGCAGCTACTGACACTATGGCATGCACTGTCAATCACTGCACCAGCACTGGATAATCATCAGTTTAAAACCAGAAGATGTTTCATTACTTTTCACTCTTATCATTCCTTGACATCAAAGAGGATGAGGACAGCTCTGTACACACTACTGCCAGCAACGTTGCTGGCTCCACATTTCCTCACCTTTGCCTTTATCCCACTCTCGGACGTAAGGCACGCCAGGCTTTGTATCTCTCCTCTCCTGGATGATGACCTCTACCTTCCTGCTTGCCGATGTGACTCTTGGAGCTTCTGGTTCATTTTGTACTGGGCCAGTAGCATCTTTAACCTCTATTTTAAGGGAGAAAATAGTTTTAGTTACTAACATAGTGTCCTAATTGAGCTTCGTAGGACGGATATGCAAGTAATAGGTATTTCCAGGTAATAGTTATTTGTATTTATACAGTTTACAGTAGTTATCTAATTTAATTCTAATAATAAAAAATGCAGTTTATTTTTTAATTACTGCATATTGTTTCAGAAGAGATCACTGATAAGCCAGATGATCAAGAAACAAACTTACCAAGAGACAGTTCATTAGTTTTCTAATGGTATTAGAGAGAAGAATTATAATCTATGTAACATACCACATATTTCCTCCCGTATTATTATGCTATTTCTGGAGTGATTTTATATCTACATGCAGTTATAAACTCTTACTATTTTAATGGTTGCTCAAATTGCATATATAGAATATATAAATTCAATATATCAAGAGTCCAAATCTAAAGCAAGTAAAATGTGACCACCTGCTCAGGCATAAGCTATGACAGCAAATATTTTACTTGAAGATGACAACAAGCCATACCTCCACTCTCTAGCTGGTTTGCCTCTTCCTCCAGTCCATCTTCCCTTAACTTCTTAACCTTCCGTGCTCGAAGTTTAGATAGTCTGGCTTCTAGAGCGGCCTTTCTTTTTTCTTTTAACTGTTCACGTTTAGTTCTCTGATCTAGTGTCTTAACAGTAAAGAAAAACATGAATTAGCCTTCTTGTGTTGTTAGAATCAATTGCCTATCTTCCTTCAACAAACAGCTAAAAGCAGTCATTATCAGGCATCCTGGTTCAAAAAGGGAAAAGAGGTCCCACTTGCTGGGATCTGCTGAAGGAATTACTGAGTGTCGTTCTTACACAAAAAGCTAAAGACTGCAACAACTGCAACTTGATGCCTTAGTATATCAATTTGCTTTTTAAAGTCATACCTGCTCTCTTAGCATATCTAGGGTCGCCCTTTGTTTATGTCTAAGTTCTTTGTCACGAGAAAAGGCGAAGTAACCAACACCAAGTTGCCTGGCCTCTGAAAAGAAAGTCAATAAACATGTTACTCTCAGTTTACAAACCACAGAAACTAAAAGCATCACAGACCCTGCTTTCATGCACTGCATTACTGTCAAAGACACACATCAGTTTGCCTCGTTTAGACAAGGCTAGTTTTAGGCAATGCATGAAGTGAAGCATCAAGCAAGATGAAAAAATACAAATTTTAAAATAAAGGAAAAATAAAATTTGAGGAAAAGAATCCTAGACACTGGTAATTCAAAAGATTACAAATGTGGCTCAACATGTATCTAAAGTTTGTCCTGCGGGCACAAGAAGCAACTTTCCCTTCCTTCCTCTAAAACCTCTTTGTGAAGATAGCGATATAAAATAGGAAAATATACCATTGTCTCTTATGTCTTCATAGTGTATTGGTCCCATCGGTTTCCTGAGGGCTTCTTCTTCCTCCCTTTCCCATTGCTGCCTCTGAAGTTCTCTCCTCATATCTTCAGATAACAGGGTATTCCCATCAGGAATTATTCTAATAAATAAGTAAATAAAATGAAGGATTACAGAGCAGAATTTACAAGTTCATATCAAAACACAGAATGGGAAATAAGTATTCACTGTTATTAGCATCTATTGGGGAGCTAGCAACTTCATAGAGAAATATTTTAAACTTAGCATATGAAAATGAAAGGTATTGGAAATAACAAAAACCTAGTCACTAGTTTACCTTAAAAGCCTAGTTCAAATATTAATACCTAATAAGGAAAACAGTGTAAAGGTGTAAGGTAAAGTCTAAGGTAAAACTAGGGAAAGCAAAAGCTTCAGTCATTCTAGGTGGAGAGTGGGATAACACAGCATAGTCTCTCTTCCCTCCCACTAGGGATATGCATGCAAAATAAAGCAGAGATCATATACACTCCTATTAAAGCAACCTCACATTTTCCCATGAAGTTCCTGATCCATTTTAAGTAGACTTGGCAAATCCTTCTTCATACAACGTCTAGATCTGCCTAATGAATCCACATAATCAACCCTGTAACGAAAGCAAAGGAAGTTTCACAGAGAACTTACACTTGCAGATTTATAAAACATTTAACCAGACAGTGACGCTTTCTGAAAAGAATTCATTGCACCTCTGTCTTTTCATGTGATACAGCTGCTTTTACCTTTCAATTACAGGCTTGGGTTAAAATGACGCATATGATAGATAGGCATAGGGCATGTGATAAATGTCTATGATAAATTTATTTTATTCAATCTCATTTTCAGCCAACGGTTTGCCTTGGTATTAAGACGGCATTAAAAAAATGTTTAAAAGTTATAGTCACATAGTTTCCATACCAAAATAAAACTGTGCCTAATACTTGCTTCCTGTGGTGAAAATAATGATGCAGCATTGACTTCTTGCAAATATTAAATTGCTGCAATATATTTCAATTACCAGTCTAAAGCTAATTTAGAATAGGCTGATAGCGTTCATTCAACTGGTGTAACAAAGGCTGATGAAAATTCCAGCAAAATGTTCATTTGAAGCACACACTGTGCTTCTTATGCAACTCTTTATAGTACTGAGCACTTAATCTATAGCTGTCAAAGGAGCAGATAAAGAGCTGTAGTTATTGTCCAATAATTCTAGGGAGTTCTTTAGCATTGAGTTGCCTCAATTATCCCATTTTAAAGAATTCACGTAATGGGATATGACTGGCAATCTGGTTCTCAAAATACTAACTTTTAATGATCGGTGCTCTTAGCAAGACAGATCTTCTACATAGCTTTTCAGGATACTCGGAACTTGCTGTCAGTACTCATACTGACTGAATACCCATTTGTTATAATTTGAAGGAAAAAAGAAGAAGAAAAAAATTGCCTGCAATCTCTATGCAAAAGATGTAAATATGGCTGCAGAATAATTAGCAACAATTATACTAGCACCTATATATTTTTATTAGGTTAAAGCCCTGAGCTTGGCAATATATTAATACTTAAAAAATATTTAATCCCTCGGAGCTTTTAATACAGTAGTTAGTTTTACCATTTTACATGTCATTGAAGTGAGATACAGACAATGATTCAAAAACTTTTTTTTTCCCCCCTCCTCCTCCTGTAATAGTCAAGAAACAAATTAGTCAGGACAGTTCAGCACGCTCAGCAGTACCAACCATTCTTCATCCGGATCCTCAGGTGGTGGTATTTCCATTTCAGGTTGCATTTCTTCCTCATCCATCTCTTTTTCTAAAGTCTTTCCAGCATCTTCACTCTGACATAGGTCCTGTACTTCTCGCTGTCTGTCTATGATCTTCTGAGTGAAATCCACAAGGTACAAATCCTCAGTTTCTTCATCTACAGCAGAAAATCAATTCTTAGAGAACAGGTATGAAAAGAACAGAACTGAACATAAAATCAATACTAGATAGCCACAATCAGCTCTTCAACCTTTACCACACTATTGGAGACTACTTTAATCTCATTTTGTGCCAAACAAATTTGGAACTATAAGCAAATTCCACAGTGATAACCTCTATTTTTCAATAGAAGTTTGGGTTCTTTCTTTTCTTCTTAAAGAAAGTACAATACAGAAAAAGTTGCAGTCTTTGTGCTACAATATTTTCTATTTGTTAACTATTTCAGCAGTATATGGCTTGTTATTTAACAGTTTAAGCCTCAAATGAGTTTTTTATATTTGCTATATTGGTAGCAACTAAGCAGTCACTAGACATCTAAAAGAACTCTAAAACTCTAGTTCTAAAACTAGAGTTTCTAAAAGAAAATGAGGGAGACATGGTAGGGTCATATATGGCAAAGATGAAGGCTAGTAAACACTAGAAATTAATTGCAAAAAGACGTTTGACTTCTTATACAATAATACTTTTCATCCTCTTAATGACTGAACGAAACAAGCCTATGATGCTTTACTAAGACTCATTTTCAGAAATACTTTTTGTTTTTTTGGTACTTATAGTTTTGCTCCCTTCCATAGCAAAATAACCAATGTCAATCACTTCGTATAATACCTCTCCCCTCCAAAAAAAAGAAAAAAATCCTGAAGTTCCTTTCTGTAAGATGACAAGCAGTAACTTCACTGTGTAGCAGCGGTCAGCTACTAGATGGTCAGGAAGACTGATTTTTAGAGTGAAGTTTAGAAACAAATATTTTAAAATAAGTAAATATTTTTACTTTAAAAAATACAGGCTTTTTAGACTAGTTTTGTTTACCTGGAAAATCGCCTTTTGTCATTTTCTCGTATAACTTTGCTTTTTCTTCGAGTTTCTTTCTGAGAGAGAGAGAGAGGGAAAAAAAAGCACAGTAATCTCTAGAGAGAGAGAGAGAGAGAAAGGGGGGGAAAAAGCACAGTAATCTCTGTAACTTTAAACAGAGTTCTAAATAACAAATTTATTCTTGTATACATGGAATAGAAAAATAGCAATAGTGTTTGACATATTAAATAGAAGCTGAGCTATGATTTTGAACATTAACTTGTATTTCTGAAGACACACAGATATCCAGTTCTAGAACTGATACTGAAAATAGTTTTAATGAAGTTAGACTTCATCTTCAGTGCAATTGCCAGGTAGGCAGGAACATGAAATCACAAATAACCTACCTCTATATCACTGAAAAAATATGAAAGCTATAACATGGAGTTATGCTTGCTCTTAGACACTGAAGAAGAAAACTTCAGCTAGCTTCTAGAACAGCAGAAGTAGGAACTGTTTATAGACCATCAGCAAATAGGTTATAATTTACATTTTCACTGTAGAAAATGTTTCACTGTTTAGAGTTTGTTGTATAACTAACTCAGCTAGAGGTTAAGTCAAATCCTAGTTACTTTGAAAAGAGTGAGCCATTTTCTTTCAAATCCAGGAAACTCTTTACATTCTGAGGCGGCTACCTCTCCTCCAGCTTCTACTTCCAAAGATGACTTGGAAAGATCACTTACCTGCCATATTTAGATAGTTAGGATAAGGTTGGGGTGGGTAT